CCTGGTGGCCAGGAGGTATCAGGGATGGGTGCGTATTGGGTGCGAATTGGCATTTGCCAGGGAAATAGCAAGTCTTTGAGGCCAAACTTTTCTCCAGCCCTGAGGCTGAGACCTAGAAGCCGACAGCGTCGCAGCACCCGGGGCTGCAGAGGCAGTGTCGCCCACAGAGGCCCGGTGGAAGTGGTCTGTCCGTCTGCAATGAGATATTAGGTAGCTGCTGCAGTGGGTCTGACAGTTTGACGCTCCGGTCTTGCTGAACAAAGTGCTGTATGAGAGCATTTTCGAGCTTCACAGGGGGGGCCTGCTTAGACTTATCTGAGCTCCGTCGCTTCCGGCACTTCTGTGACTATCAACCGCCATGACTTTCTACATGTGCTGCCCCGAGAATAAGACGTTCCGTGACGTGAACATCCCAAAGGGCAGTGTGATGCACTCATCGGAGATTGCTGCCATCTTCGAGGCTTTGCAGCATTCAACATGTCCGTGTCAGTGCCAAGTCGTTTGCATTGGGGCCTTATTCACGTTCAATGTACCAGTGCTGCTGGTCGAATAGAAAGTTTAAAACTGTAGGAACCACAAAACACACATCAATAAATCCCCACAGCCGAGTACAACGTCGGTGTCAATGCCAAGAAGCTGGGATTCACCTTCAGCATGAGTGGAAACACGGCGCCTGACAACGCCTCCTCCTCAAAGATCGCGAAACTTTTGGGCCCAAAAAGCTTGATCCGTCTGGAGCTTTCGTCGACGGCGCAGAATGAGTTCTCAAAAGGACACCTCGCTCCGTCAGAGTCAGGCAACGGTCTCCTCTTCAACCGGTTGGCCTACCCGGGCGAAGGCTGCGGGTTGGCAAATGTTCGATTGCTTTCCGATTAACATTTCCAAGTAATGCATGTGCAATCCTTCTGGTAGTCTGTTTGGCTTCAGGCATCTTCAACAATGTCTTGCTCAAGAAGCAATGCCAGCTGAGTGTGGAGACAGTGTCAGAGTGGGCAGTGAAGGAACTGGATCGGGCTGCCGCTCCCGTGGCGGCATTCGAGTATTTCGCAGTGTCAGTGAGTCGCCTCGACACAGTGTCATCCGTCGCGAAAAGGGAGTCATACCAGGAGATATTGACGTTCTTGGACAAGAACACGAAGTCGTCTGAGCGGGTGGCCATCCCTCTCAGTGTCAAGGACACCATCGTCTTGTTCGACTCCAGTGTCGCGGCGCTTGCCGCGATGCACATGGTGACAAAAGGCCTGGATGCTGGGGAAACCAGTGTCGTGAAGATCAACTTCAGCGTCGACTTCTTGAAGACCGTCAAGTTGAAGGTGGTTCCAAACTCTGCCAGTGTCGTCTCCTACTCGGTGTTGCTGGCAGAGACTCCAGCCGAGCTGGAGCGCATCATGACTGGGGCGTTGTCCGTGTCAGGCTTCATTGGCAAGTTGTCAGTGTCAGAAGGCCCGAACGGGTATCAGGATGTGCGTGAGCTGAAGCTGAAGGATAACGAAAGTATGTTTCTTGGCCGAACCGGGTCTCAGCGTTTTCATCTGTTAGATTTATGGTGCCATGGCTATAATTCATTCCAAGCTGCTGTTGCGACTTGCTACATTTTAAATTTCAAGTAACCAAAATCTTCAAGTGCAGCAGGAAGCGCCGTCGAGTGGAGTTGCTGAAAGATGAGATCGCGAGCATTCAGCCTCAGGAGGCTGCTCCGACTACTGAGTCGAGCAATCCGCCTCTGGAGCCTCCGACTACTGAGTGAATCAGTGTCAAGTGAGTTGCCCTGCTTTGAAATTGAAGTGGTCATTCTTCCAACCGAGGTGCTTAATAAAACCAACTTAGACGGACTCTTAGCTTCAGTCAATTTCAGGGGCAACCAATGCTTCGGCCGCAGGGGCCTGTTGGGCCATGTGGCATGGCATAATCACCGTCGCTGACGGCATGCCAGTCAGTGTGATTTCTTCAAA